CCTTGTGTTATACTGAAGAGAAGGGAAGCATCACTATAACCAGCATCTCCAAAACTGGTCAACTCACACAAAATACAATTTAAAAATAATCTGGATGGATGAACATCACTACAGACCAGACGGAAATGTGTAAATTAGATTCAGGGGGTGTACTGTCTCTTTAATACCTTGTGTCATAATAGATGGTTACTCTGTTTAGAGTGCAGTGTGGTTTAAGTTGTTGTTTTTAAAAAAAATGGTGACTGAGGAGATGGAAGTCTATGTGCTACTCTCCACTTAACAATTTACTGACTTTTTGTCCCTTTTAAGTTTTAAACATAGATTCAACAAATCTGCATGTTTTCTTCTATTATTCTATTTTTTGATGGGCAAATAACTGCTATTTTCTCTTACACCTTCTTAATAAAATCTATCTTGTAATGTAAAGTATGCACAGTTGGAAATGTTGGTCAAGCTTGCATTAGCAAGTCTTCTAATACACCTCTCATGTGATTGTAGGAGTGTGATCTCTAGCTTACAGGCTTGCCTTGTTCCCTGCTAATCTGAATATGTGCAGGTTTTTTAAGTCCTCTGCAAAAATCCCGACCCCACCAGAAACTATAAAAACTACCATAGGTCACTGAATTTGTAGCAGAAAAAGTGGTAATTTGGGTAAGATTTCATACAAAACGCCAGTTAACCTTCTGCTGTAGATCGTAAAATCTAAATGGTAAGACTTAGATGGTGCTGAAGGGTGATGGGTCTCAGTGTAGCTGTAGAAGTGTCAAAAATAAGGATGCTCTGCAGAGTGACTACTATAACATGTCAGTAAGCCTGCTTTCTGTTTCAACAAGGTGATGTGGATCCGTCATCTTGGAGAGAATGAAGCCATTGACATGCAGGAAGGCAACACAGGAGAGATGCATTCAGTTAGGTTGATACAATTAATGCATTGGTTGACATTTCACTGAGTGACCCAGCCCACACACGTACATTTTCAGCCTTTAAAACATGCACAATGGTGGAAAAAAAGCATTTCCTGTAGTGATTTTACTAAACCCATATTCTAAGGCTGTTATTGGCAAACACAGGCAATGTGAAAAGGCTTTCAAGAATATTATTCATTTTGACTTATTTGATATAATCCTTCCACCTCAAGCTGTAGATTTGTAAATGTAACCCATTTATGGTAATGAGCATTAAATCCCCTTACAGTTATGTGTGCATACTCCATTTATTTTTGATTAAAATATCCCACATAATTTCTGCCTACTTCTTGACAAAATGGTAATTAAAGAATACAATTCCTTTTATAAAGGAAATTAATTTGGTCTATAGTTTTTGTGTATTGCAACAGGAATACACAAACGAGCTACCGCCACGTATTGGAGTGGACCTCAGCTGCGTGAGGCAGGGATAGGTATCCTATGACTATATTATAGAAAGTTCATTCCATTTAACACAAAAATAGGGCAGGGAACTGAAAAAGCTGTGTTTTGTTTTCGTCTTGAAATATACTGTACATCCAGTCACATAGGGCATTTTTGTAATTTATTACATAGGGGGGATGTGGATTTTGGGCAATAAATATTTTCTAACACAAGAGGTGGCTGTGAAACTGGATCCAACACAAAAAAAAGAGAGAGAGAAAAAATCAAAGCCTCCTTTTCAATGTTGCTGCATGTTGCACACATCCTATAAATAATGTACTAACAAATATTGATTAATGTACCTCAAGAAGAACCACAAGGCCCAAAAGCCCCGATGTTTTGAGCTCTGCCTCTGACTGAATGTTTATGGCCTGAGGCGATGTGTGGTCCTTGCACTGTACTTTACTAATGGGGATTTCATCCTGGGCAATGAATTATGATTCTGCTTAGCTTCATTTCTTATTTAATTTGCAAATCTACCAACTGCAAATGCATCAGCATGTAAATGAATCCAGGCTACCATGGAATCAAACTGGAAAATGCGTGTTTTTGTTGAGTCTCTGGCCAAACTAGACCCCTCTCGTGTCAAAAGGTTGGTATGATTGATAGTTCTTGTTCCAGATATTCATGAAGGTCGTGCCTCGCAAGTGTCTTTGAGATGCGACAGCATGGTGGATAATATCACGATCCAGAAACCTGCGAGTGGATTATAGCAAACATGACAGTATCTCCACTGTTTATGGTCACATATGCGTAAATCATGTGGAGTGAAGCATGAGCCGTATATTTTCCACAGCAGGCATTAAAAGTTGTGCACCATTAAAGTGGGAGAAAAGGGGTGATTTTGAGCCAAATGACTGGTAATAACCTCATGTCAATAGCAATGTCATGCATTAGTCATAGTTTATTATAGAGTGTGGTATTGGATTAGAAGGAATTAGACTGGCTGTGGTTTAATTGGTCCATTTTTTTTGTCACCCGTGCTCTGCCCACATGTTGGAAGCTATCTGGATCTATTTACCGCCTAATTCTTAAATCCGACCTGTGCATCTTAGTGAATCACCTAGTTTACAGTGAATTAGGTCATGAGCACCCCCAGGCATTGATAATTATGGTGTGACATGCCCTGCACAGCAACACGCTGACCGTCACTTTTACTTTAAAGGCCCAACAACCAATATGCTATGACACTGTTGACATATCACACCAAATGAAGAAAAAAAAAAAGAAAAAAGGGGAAAAACACAGTGTTTTACAGTATGCTTCCAAAACGACTTAAGAGGCTCTGATGGCCAAATGGAAGAAGGGGTGAAAACACTCTGCGATAAAGGTGCTAGAATTTGCTCTAAGGAAAGTTTGATCACCGTTCTTAGACACCCAATATATCCTTTAGACACTGTAAAGGATTTTACACTGTGCCTCCCAAAGGCTTGGATGTTATCTGAAAAGTGAATTACATTAGACAGTGCTTAAGGTGGAAACAGTGCACCAACCACAGTTGTGATGAATGAATGGTGACAGTTGTCTCCAGCCCTGTGTGTTGCATGAACTTGTACTGAATTTCGTCTGACAACTGCAGTCAGACACTAATGCATCAATAACACATTATTACTTTCCTGTCTGGCACAATCAGCAATAACCTACATTTCTCAGGTGTATTTATTCAACAAATGAGAGAAAGAGAGAGAGAGAGAGAGTGGGTGTCTGCAGGATGTCATGTAGGTACGATCAATCCAAATAGCATGAAAACCAATCTTAAGAGTCACCTGTTTGTCTACTTGGCTTCTTGATCTTAAAAAACACGAGTAAACGGCTAAAAATATAGAATTAATCCATGCAGTGTCTCTCTCAATATCATACTTAAAAAGGAAGTACTACAGACATCAACTACACGATGAAGGCAACCCAGTTTCGGCTCCATGTACAGTCTTTATACAGTTGTTTGCCCCAAATATGCTATACTCACTCAGTTTCAGGACCATGGACAGGGCTTAGAGACATTAAAAGAGTATAATTTCAAAACCCATTCATCTTAATGTACCGCTTTAGGACCATAGACGGAGATGAATTATATTAAGGACACTGCTGAATCTAATATCACTCATTCATTCACTCAGTCTATATATACCCTGTAGTCACTCAGAAGCCATCATTTGTGTCTGAAATGATCTGTGGTAGGGGAAGAAATACATGGCAACAATTGTTCACCATTTGCTGTTTACTATTTTGTTTTTTCTCCAAACATCAGTTATATTATTCTACATGTGCAATGCTTCACTCTCCAGTTGACTATCCAAGAAAATATATACATTTTTAAAAATGATGCGAGATAATGGATTTGATTAGGATTTGTTCAAATTCTGTTTCATTTAAAATTAAAAACCAACAATGAATTTCAGTTTCCGTTTCGGTGCAGCAGACAGGTTTTTTTTTTCCTCAGTATGTACTTGCTTTCAGCACCAGCAACATGGCTGCGTATAATTGAGACCATAGCCACAAATCATGTACTCTGTTTAGAAGACTTTCCATCATACACTGTGTCTATCCAAGAATTTCTTACTCTATATAGGGAGTGTGGTAAAACTGCTGTGCTGAGCTAAAACAGCAGTATACAATCCATACTCTGTAACAAAGACCTGCTTTATTTTTTTAATATGGTTGGTGATGGTATTGTGTGTTTGACAGTTGTCTTAGTCACAGTTCACGAGCATAGGCAGTCTAAACCAGGCTTTAGGCTACATAATGTATAAGATGACAAAATCATTGGAACGAGTACAAACACCATTGTTTTGCTTCAGTATTTCTTTTGTGCTTCAGTTTCAGCAACACACACAAACAAACACACACACACGGCTTGGAAAAAGGCTCTTCTATCATTTCTTTGTCCAAGATGTGTTCCCTTTCTTATTTTCAATCACACAACCAGGGGTGTGCAATACTGAATGCACAGTTGAGGCTCTGTGCCATACTATACTTTAGTTGCATGCATGATAAATTATACTTGCTATAATAAAGAAAAAGAAATCTTGTTCACACGTCTTTTACCCCAATTCTCCAAAACGTAGAAACATCTATTTATCTATAGTAGTGCACAGCTGAAGATAATAAATGCTTTAAATTGGCTTAATATCTACAACACTCAAAGTTCCAGCACCGTGGACAGGTCTTGGTGATATTACAGTTCAAGTATAATGCATTATTTTTGTTTGCCGGTCCCAGGTGTATTACATTGTCCTGAGCACCTGTGACACATCTGCTCTACAGTCGCCAATTTCAGCACCATGGTCAGCGCTGGTTTCCCGTTAACGGTGTGTTGTTCGGTGTGCTGCACTTTCACAGTTTAAGCACTGAGAACAGGGCTGCATGCTATTGCGATGCAGCTTTACGTTGACCCCCACCCCCCTCGCTGTAATAACACACACCCCTGTTCATTCTCCCCCAGTAAGAAAAACCGTGCTCTTTATCCCAGCCAGTGCTTGCACTGAATGAAATGAAAGCATGCCTGGATCGTGACGTGGCGCTGACACCGCGTGAGCTCTGCATCTTTAAAACAGAAGGACAAAAAGCAGAAAAAAAGAAACCGAAAGAAAAACAGACAAGCTGCTCAGTCATAACTGTGGGATGATAAGGACTACCTCTTTTTACTTTTGGAGAGAGTCGAGCCGTTAGGAGAGCATTCAGCATCAGCTGTTCAACACTGGTCTCTCATTGCTGGAAGTCGGGGCTGAATCAGTCACATGACAGAACTGGAGGCAGAGATCTAGAGAAAAGGCACAGCATTTCGGCTAGCACCGCCATACTGTATTTTGAGCCATATCACATTTTTATTGCAACATTTTACTCCCGCTCGGTGAGTACATTTCCAATGGCTTTTTTGTAAGCATTTTTTGTCTTTTTAATTGCCCCCCCTTTTTTTGTTATTTTTCCTCCTTTTGCTGATGGTTGAATTGAGCATTGACATGGTGGTTTTGAGCGTTTTTCCACATCCAGGCTTCAAGTTTTTAGCATGCAGTTATTCTGATCGAGAGTGCCAAGAGGGTAAACGGGTGCGTTATCGGGATTGAGAAAGCCTTTACTTGCTTGCAGTTTTGTTTCGAGGGTCGAAACCAAGCAGGTTTTGTCAGTATTGAGATTTTTCGAACATTTATTGGTGGTTTTGAAACATTTTTAATTTTTTTCTCTTTTTTTTTCTTTTTTGTTTCTGTCGACTTTTGCTGTTGCTATGCTTTGGTTTGCATTTTGCAGTGTTGTTTGTTGCCTTCGAGTTTTGTGATTTTGATGTCTCGGTGAAATCACCACCGATCCGATCCTTGCTTTTACTTTGCTCCTCTTTTCTTTATGGAAAAAAAGAGGGGGAATCATTTTTAAAGCCCGATGACATTTTAACGTGCTACTTTTCTTGCAGCTGAGCTCACAGGTTTGTGGTTTTTGTTTTTGGTTTTTTGTGTTCCTCTCTTTTTCCGATTTCATTATACTTTTGCTGGTGGCAGTGTCAAGTATTTTTTGGATGTTATTTTTTTTGACTAGATGATGCTGGGTGGACGAGGGGAGTTTTGATTCTTGGGGGAGTTCAATGCGTTCTTGTTTTCAACGAGGATGAACAGACATTTTCCCTCTTGCAGGTATATAACGTGAGCGGATGAGTGACACGCTTCTGTATTTACAATAAAGAATGAGGTGACAGAAATATGCACCTGTGGCTGACGTGTTATTTTGTAAGGGCTGCTCAAATTGTTGATTAGAAAAGGCATTCTTCATCAATGTTACCTGAAGGTTACCTGCTGTGATCGATCTGTGCCTAATGCTTCATAAAATAAAATACAAAAAAAAATCTAATGTCGTGGTCAATAATTCAAGAACACGGATTGGAAATCACACGCAGTTCGTTCGAACAGTGTTTTCTTTGTCGTGAGTTCAACAATCTTCACGCCGTTCAAGCTGAAGACTAAATGTAAGTAGATACAGCCAAGGACGGATACACTGCAATAAATGCAAGTATCGAAAGTCTATTCATATATCGATTTGGAGGAGCGGAAATAACAAAATTCCTTTACTGCAGCAGACGCTTCTTTAAACTGCAGCTGGCTACCAACTTGAGGGAAATAATTAGGTTACATTTTCCATTGCAGTATGTCATGGGCAAATATCTTCCCACACTTAAGTGCCCCTCTTAGTCCTTTACAAACTCAAATCCGCTTTTTGTGGGCCTGGATGCATAAATACTTTTTTTTTTCTAATCTGATTTTGCAGGAAATGAACTAAAAGAGGACTTAGAGTGAAATAATCCTTTCAAGAGGCAGTTTAACCTCAGATTATTAGTGCTGCAGGAAATGCAAAAATAAAAGCGAAAACAGATATCATGGAGTCTTAGAAAAGAGCAAGGCTTGCAATCAGTTACTCGAATTATTTGCTCTGTGTGTGTGCGTGTGTTTGTGTGTGTGTGGGTTCATAGCCAAAAAGTCATGGTACTCAGCAGAAATCCACCATCTCTACTTGACTTACTCTTCACTTTTTCCCGGGCTGATCTAAATCATTTCTGCCTTTGGAGTTTCCATTTTTAAAGAAAGGAGTCAAGCTTGTGCATCAGATCTCATCAGTTTGCTCCATTTAACTCATATGTGTTCAGTTTAACAGAACAGAGGTTTCGTCGGCATAATACTGCAGGCCAATAAAACACAGGGGAGTGGACCATTAAGTCTGAGTGTAGACTGTTAAGTCCCGGTGTCATTAAACAGGCTCGCATAGTTGATCAGAATCCAAATAATTTAATGTGGTGAAATGAAACATTAATAACTACTGGATGAAAAACGCAGTTGGTAAACTAGGATTGTTAATAAGGCAAACTGACTGGAGCAATTAAGATGAAACATGTTGCAGAGAATTGAAAGGCTGTTATTAAGTATTGATTTCTCTGCCTTCAGTTAGATCTATGCAGACCATAAAGGAGATGTAGATAAAGAGCATGAGGAGATTTTAATGGGGTCCAATTTGTGAGCCAATTTAGAAACGGCTTTAAGAGTCTAGGAAGAGAGTAAGTGTTTGCTTGTAGACACATAGTAAATATATTATAGGCTATGGTGTTGGAGTAGGTGTGAATTTGCCACAGAGTCTGTCAGTGACTGAAAAAGAAGAATTACAATTGAATCCAACTATTAGATTCAGATACAAGTAATCAGTGTACCGTCAGTTCTTGCACTGCAGCCATGATTTAATTACATTTTCCTTCAAAAATTTCTAAAAGTCACTGAACTCATTTAAGCCATGAACACATTAAACTCTTACACCGAGTAATTAGGTGAAAGAATGACTTTAATTTTCAAGGCCTGTATTTTAGCCTGAAGCCAGGGCATTTCACATGTGTCTAGATAATATTTTCAGTAACTTCTTCAAGGTGTCACACTGTCCTCCAGTTTATCTATGCAGAATTACACACAAGTCCATTTTTAGCTGCATAAAATAGCTGTCTTTTGTAAACGTTCCAAAGAAATTGTCTTCGTTATCTTCGGTGCACAAAGGTTTTAATCAGGCCACTCCCTCAAAATCAATTCATCTGTTGGCTTTCAAACCTCAAACCACAACATCACAAGACATCAACATGTCTTCGCGCCCTGAGTTGAGAGTTGTTTCTGCCACACCGCCAGAGTGTGAGCTCCACAGACATCTCTCCTGCTAAGCATTATGATAGTTTCTATTACGTCCTGCAGTGTTGTGTCTGCGCTCCAGGCAGGTTTTCTGTTATCTGGGCCAAGCCAGAACCGCACAGGAGTCTCACAGAGAAGTATGATAGCTCGTGTGTGGTTATATCTCTGCTACCATGAATAAAACATCACGCAAGAGTCAGCTATGTGCACTAAGCATGTGCTTAACTAGGGGATGCATGAAAGTGAATGCAGGTTTGGTGGTGGTGGTGGTGGTGGTGTGTGTGCAGATATATGTTGCTTTAGTATCATCTTTCAATAGAAGAAATAATAAGCAACATTAAAGGAGGACAAAACTTGAGCAGACTGAGACGTTTTATGTTTTCCCCTTTAAAGTGTTGAAAGGGGACCACGAAACAAGTTTTATCATTTTCAAGAAGCAGCAGTAGCTCTTTACTTAAATTATGTTTTTTTTAACCATAAAGGCACTCGTATAGTATGACTTGCCACTGTCTGAAAATATGGCAGCTGCAAAGCTGGTCTGAATTTTGCTCTCATCTTAACATTTTTTTTTTGCCAGTCAGTGAAGCTCTCAATTAATCTCTGCATTGTTTTAATTGGATTTCCACATGTCATTACTCACATAGGAAAGAGTTTGGTTGCTGTTTTCCATCTTTATAAATCAATCTAGAAAATGAGCCTGACAGAAATGGTTATTGTCTTTCTGATAATTATTGTACTATAACAATAAATAATGATTTGCTCCATTCAAGTAGATACAAAAAAATCCCGTTTCTCCTTCTTGACTAATAAGCATACGGCAAAGAGCACCACTCCTTACCACATTAGTGTAATGTTATTTTGACAGCGTGATTAAGTGTGAGCAATACCTTGATTCTTCTTAGGCTTTACCACAAAGAAGAAGGGCCAGTTTTTATGTTACCTGAAAGAAAAAATGTCTGCAAGGCAAACTTGTGCAAGTCACAAGTTCGATTTTTTTAAATAATCGCATAGCTGTAAAGGCAACTCGCAGAAGTGCATCCATATTATTATAAACTCAAAGCGTCTTTCATCTGCATTTTGGCAGTCAACCATATCAACATAACATGAAGTACCAAAGTAAAAAGAGTGTTTTACGATGTGTTTTATTTCTCTCAATGAGGCATTCACTTCCTTCTCCCCTCCTTTTAACAGATAAACAGCTTACCTTTGCCATGACTCATTCTACTGAGACTACTGTTAAGTACTTTACTGTCCTTTTCTGAGCTGTTAATTTGATAAGTGAGGGGATCTTGCACTTCATATTCTGGGCAATTAAACCCATATCTGAAGAATAGGGTCAGGCTGAATGACTTTCCAGTGTCTATTATGGGAACCATCTGAGTTACTGTGCATCACTGAAATCAGACTTCTGCGCCGACGTGCTGAGACCTGATTGTAACTTTAAAATTTTGCATGAAAGCAAAGTTTTGTTTTAGTTACATGTAACTGACATTCGGTCTTGAGGGCGTGCGCTCTTTTAACTTGATGCTTTTGAAGACAATGGGATCAGTTGCAAAACAGTGATATTTTCTTCCTTTGATTAAATACACGAAACTAGACATAGACTGAGACTTGGGATGTGTTTCGAATTTGTAAAGCGAATTGAATTGCTTTTTCTATTTTTAGGGAGGAAATAAGTTTAGAGCTGTGGGATTAGGACTAACCTTACAAAAGGACATGGAGCTAAGATGGTGTAAAGGTCAGTGTTTGGAAGATCCGCTCATGAGGAAAGTACAGTTTATACTGCTTTCCCAGCGCTGTCCAGTTATTGAGCCAGCCTACATGATAGCTTCCAGGTCACATGAGGTCAAGCTTAAAAATTCAGTACAATTTTCTAATTAGTTTGTGTTAAATTCCATTCGGCAGGAGTATGACGTAGGAGCAAAACATACAAAATTAGGGTTTAAATTAGATATGGATGAAGCACTGTCGCTTCTAATATACATAAGTATTATGTCTTTAGACGAAAATGTCACAGAGCTTCCTGCAGCAGCATCTTCTCCCCAACCCCCTCCTAATTAAACTGTAATTTCAGAAAATTGTTGGTCTCATTGTAGATACATAAGCCTGTTACATCACACTTAACTTTTTGGCATTTAAATACATGTTTTTCACATCAGTGTGCCAAACATCATCATTAAAATTTAACCCTCAGGCAGAAGGATGACCGAGCCAAAGATGATTAGTCTGTGCTTTGCACATCTTTTCTGGAAATAACGGAAGATCTCAGTTTGGATACATATAGAATTATGGAAATGTGGCTGGAATATTTTGGCAGGACACGCAAAAAAAAGAACAATACACATGACCTCAATCTGCACATACACAAATTTAGACATACATTTGTAAAGAAAGAGCAGGAGAAGGAAACTGATGCATAAAGTTTTACCTATTTTTTGGTCCTTTTAAGAGCAGGCAGTTTAAGAGGAGCAAGATTTTAGCTTCTATTTCTTGCTTGTGTGCATTTATTATACTTTCATTATGCAGAAATTCTTCTCTTCAGCCCTCCTGATAACCTGCTTCCCCTGATCGGGCTAGCCAATCCACATTAAGTTGAGTAGTAGCAAACTAGAACAGTGGCACAGGAAAAGACAAGCTGATCAAATATTTAGAAAAGCGCTCAACGTTTCTCTGTCCTACGAAGATGAAGTATTTTCTTTACCTCTCTGAAACATTAAAAAAAGCAGAAAACACTGCAGATTAAATAAACATAAGACTCTCCCAAAATGCCACTATAAAATATTAAAAGCAGCAATAAAAAGATAAACACAAAAATACCAGAGACTAAGGGCTCCCAGGTCAATTTATAGAAGTTAAAATCAAAATGCATAGTGAAATTCAAAGACTTGAGTTGCCATAGGCAACATCTAAGGCTGAACTAATTGATTTATCATTAGGATGCAAAAGCAAGTGCTTTCTTGCAATCTAAAGATGACCTGGGC